GTAATAGAACTCGCCAGGATATATATGGACGGTATATATACGGATGTAATAAGGCAATATAACGTCAGATCCTCATCAGTTCTTGACCAGATCTCCGACCAGAACATTGCAAGGAGATCAAGGATATAGTTCGTGATTAGGTTGTTGACATACAGAGGGCTGTCTTCTCATCATTCCTTCTTCTCTGAGACTGTTCACAGCATAGGGGACCCCTGGACCTAAGGGGATTGGACCCCAGCAAACACCGGACTCGGGAAACACAGCGCCCCACCCTCCCAGTGCAGGTAAGAAGCAGACATGCACTCGCTAATCAGCACTTGCACGTGGAGAAGCAGCGCACACAACACCACGAGGCCATTTCTCGTCAAATTGATGCAACTCAGTAATTTTTATTGCAACTGGAAGACAATACATCACAGAAACTTTATGGTAGGTCTGGGGGAAAGTGTTATTTACAATAAATGATGAAATAGTTTGTCTTTGGCAATATGATTACATATGAAGAATGCGAAACGCAAGGATGGATACCTCCAAAGCAACACCATCAGGTCCCTCAAGTTCGGCCCATCGTGCCTGCCTCCTCCCTGCTGCGGACCGCGAACGCGACGGAACGCCACCTTCCTTCTCCTCTACGGTTCTCCCTTCCTAGTCATGATATTGGCAGTTTCATACAGAAAATACAGAAAAGAAAATTGGCTTCTGAACAAGTATGACGCTAATACATTAATTTGGCCATGTAGGTCGATTGGCCAGCAAAGGTCAGAAGGTCGACCCTAAGCCTTGAGAGTAAACCTCTGGGTCTTCTGATTGCTTTATCACTATTATTTTTCTGCAAAACAAAAACACACCTCAGAAGTGTTACAGAATCAAGAGTATATATTTTTTTAAAAAATGGTACAAGTGTAGGATGCTTCCCAGACACACACGGATACTGTTTCCTCCACATTGTCACCATGGCAGTGTAAGTAGTGAGTGTGAATGACACGGCGCGGAACTGGCTACTGAATCGGCTATGAGCTTGGATGGCCTCCACGTACATTTGCAGAAGCTGAATGTTTACAGAACTGAAATGGTGCTAAGTTTCATCTTAAAATAAAGGGGGGGGGGTGTCGGGGAACTCAGGCCACAGTCATGAAAGGATGGAATACAATTTCTAGGTTTGACAGGTTCGCCATATCGAAGTTGCCGAGAATCCAATATGGAATATTAATTATTTGCAAAAGCAGGGAAGGGTGTTCTCCGCCTTTGCAAATGAAACACAGTGGAAAACACTGTTGTACAGATCCCCAATAAATACTCTTGATTTCAACGGGAACGGAACGAACAGGACGGGGGCTTGTGAGCACATCACAGTTAAGTCAGAAGTGATCTTTCGCCTAGGTCTGATTTCAAAAGTACGACAGACAGCAGGATACAGCACCATAGACACATCGGTTTCGGCTGTTAAAAGATGTTGTTTTTTTTTAAAAATCGGATTTTCCCTCCTTAATTTTTTTGGTCGGTGAAGCTAGCACTTGTTTGTAGAACTGTGGAAGAATGGCAAGGTCACACGCATTTTTCTCATGATAAAGCAACTGAGCTGTGAGTCTGTGCTTAATTCAAGGATGACCAGTAGGAGAGAGAGGAAACAAGGAGTGAACCCCCAGGGCGGGTGGGTGCTCTCTCAAAGGGAGAGGGGCTGACGGGTGAATTTCACAAAGGTGGGCGGGTCTATACAGAACACTGAATGCTGTGTGTAAATCCTCGTGAAACTCCAGAAACAGGAACACCACACAATGTATACACTTTGATTTACACATTCCGTTACAAAGGGAAAAAGAGGACACCATTACGACGTTGTAACTGCGTTAACTGCAATAGAAACCAAAGTCCCGAGTTTGGCAGGTAACTAAGAGAGGGTTATCCACTTAGGTTATATAGCAAAAGTGTGGATGTATATTATATATAGTAGTATAAATAATAAAAAAGTATTATTTAAATTAGATCACAGTGCTGCATTATGTGCATAACAGTGTTTGATATAGTATTGGAGGGCCGGGACCTATGACACTAAGGGTTTAACTGTCAACACTGGTAAGTCACAATCGGGGGGGCGGGGGCGGGGTGGAGGGGGGACGACGACACAGAGTTCATATGTGTTCTTTTGGTGGCAAAAAAAACATCCTGAAGATGAAAGAAAAAACACTTCTCTACAGAAACATGAAAATAAATTGCAACATCTGGGCAGCTGTGATCCACCAGAAAGAAAGGACTCCCAACCTGAATCAAGTTTAAAGGGAAAGAGAAGTCACATTGAACCCATCCAGTCCCATAGGGAAGACCCTCCCGTTAGGTCACTCGTACGCATGACTCCTTCTCCAAGAGCCCTTCGGCCAGAGGCCCAGGTCCTGCACGCGGTGTGGGCGCAGCACTTGGCGCTGAGCAGGCCTGGGCTGTGCCAGGGAGGAGCGGGCACAGGAGCCATTCACGCTGCAGAGCCCACAGCCAGACGCTGTCCCTCAGGCAGGAACAGCGCTCAGAGACATGGCCTCTTGCAGGCTGCCCCCTGGCAGTACCTGCTGGGCCCATGCCCAGTGCTTCTCCAAGGAAAACCGGTTCTTGGGAAAGGCCGCCGACACTGGCCTTCGCACACACTCAGCCCCGCCCAAGACGGAAACTGGCCACGGCGGTCTTGGCTAGGGCTGTCTCCAACCACCCTCTCCATGTGGGTTTGGGCCATTTCCAGGTAAGACAACTTGACCAAAGGACTCTCAAAAGTATACCGACTTGAGGGGGGAGGGGACATAGGAGCTATGGTAGATTATAAGGCTGGGAATGAAATCTATGATGCAGACAAACCCTTTCCACAGAGGACTAGTAGATAAAGATAGAAGACCACGGTAGTAGCATAAACATAACTGTCTACGTGTAAGTCATTTAAGAAAAAAGAGCTACGGCCTCTTTCTCTTAAATGTGCCCAAGGGCCAACAGCAAGTAACGGCAGATGTCACGGTGCTCAAGTGTTCATGGCTGCTTTCCCACGCATCTGGAAATATTGCTATAGTTCCCCGGACCCCCCCACCCCCCCATGAGTAGGTGAGATACTGGAATGAATGACACGTGAAACGCCACTGCTCCCGCGGGAGACACAAAAGCCAAAGCGCCGCACCCCTCGAATGGAGCCCGGGCGACCTGTCGGACTAATGAGCACACAGGCTGGTGTGGAAGCTACAGAACACCTGACGTTCGGGAAGGAATTCCGAGACGAAAGTGAATGACACGCGAGCAAAAAGACTCTCTCACAAATAGGCTTGTGCTTAAATTCTCTGCTGGGGAGGGGGTGCTCGTGCTCCTGCCCCTGGCGTGGTGAGGGCGTGGACAGCCTCCTTCGGCAATGAACTCACTACAAACGGCCACATACACATCCCCCCTCCCCCCAAACAATCGAAATACAAAGTTTAAACACAATTGAGCCATTGTTTTGGTTATGCATAATGTGTATGCCCCCCAAAACAGAAGAAAAATAGAAAAAAGTACCCTCACTAAAGTTTTCCCTGCAAGTCCCCCCGGCAGCCCCTGCGAAGGGGCCGAGGGAACTCAAGGAAAATAACACTTAGAAAGCTGCCCAATGAGGTATTTATGCAAAAAGAGTGGTTCTGGAGTTAAGAACACACTTTTATAAGATAGTTATCTATTTCTCAAGAGAGATCAGAAAAGTAAATCACACACATTGCATTTTATTATTTTCTAAAAGAGGCCTTGGCTCCTTTAGAAAAATGAAATGAGGGGAGACAGCCCACCGTGGGGGGTTTAAATCGGAAGAACCGCCCCCCTCCCTCGCCAGAAACAGTCCTGAACCTGTATCTGCCTTTCTGGAGGGAAGTCTACATTTTACCTGGGGGTGGGGGTGGGGGGCGGTATTTCCTGGGCTTGATCAGGTGACAACACAAACCGGTGTCCCTCGGGTTTCAGAGCTGTGCATGGCTTTTGGGGTGTCGAATGTTGGGTGAGATGGAGGGAACGGAGTACTTCAAAACTATATCCTTACTCCCTTCTCCCCCGTGACCGAATATGCGGGAAGAGTTCAGGTTCAGATAACGCAGTCGACCTGGTGTGCAGGTGACTTCTTCAGGGTCTCTCATCAGCAACCACAGGAAGCTGAGCACGAGGCACGCAGCAGCCTCCCTGCCCCGTTTTTAAAGATCAACACGACCCACTTCTGTCCCTCCCCGTCACATCCTGAGCCACAGTGGTGGGTGTTTTTGTTGGTGTTTTACAATTCCCCTCCACTCGGGTGGAAGATCACATTCTTAGGTTTCTCTTTGGGTCTCCCCCAATCATCTTTAGGCAAAGAGAACAGGAGTTTCTGGGCTGCGGGACATCGTCCTGTGGTCTAAGTTTCGCTCTCACAACCTAGATGGGCTTAAATCCAGGCTGGTTCGTGTGCGGAGGTGGTAGAGATGGCCGGGCCCTCCTTCCCACCGTGACAGGGAGTCACAGGAAAACTGTAGGCTGGTCCTTCCCACACCTGTGTCGCTTCCTACTTTGAGTGACCCCTAACTCACACCCTCATCTAATAAGGCCCATTAGCGCTGTTTCCCTTCTCCTGACGAATTTGCATAATTATCCACTGCCTTTTTCCTAGGACCAAATTGCGGTGATGGTTACCCCAGTCAGCGTCCCCTAATTCTCTCATACACACTCGCTACGAAGTTTGCCCTCAAATTATTGCATCATGATAAACATGTCCAGACACCAGAGAAAGGACACACTTTCCACAGAGAATCAGAAGGGGGTTGGGGCTGAAGTGCAGACAAGGCAGGCCCTACCGGAACATGAAATAGTTTTATATTGCAGAGTTAGTTCCCCAACAGTCAGAATTTGTCCCTGAAGAAGGTTAAACCTTAAACACCTGCTTCAAAAAACCAAAACAAAATAATTGGGAAAAAAACCAAAACAAAACAAAAGGAAAAACAAAACAAAAAAGAAAACCCAAAGAACCTCTAAGCCTAAGGGCTTAAACATTAGAGGCATAGCCTTTTCTCTATTTTCTATATTTATATGAAAATAATTCATGCTTCATGCTAAATACATTATTTACCTTACAAGAACTTTATTTTTGAATAAAAAAAAGTTTGTGTTTTTATGATTTTTTTTTCCTTTTTCTTTTAGAAGGAATCCATGCATTGTGGATCGGAAATTTCTGCTGGCTACAACGGGCTGACTGTGGAAATCACTGATTTTTGCAAAGATGAATCCTGACTGACATGATCTGCAAACTCCATTTTGAGGGCAGTATAGGAGTTTTCTTTTGCCTTTTTGCCACATTTTTTGTGTGTGTGTGTGTGTCCATCAATGTGCCTTTCATCTTTAAAAAATAGACCACAGTACTAATGGCAGGTTCCATAGCTTTTTGTTTGTTTTTTTTTTTTTTTCCCCCCGCTTGGATCAAATAGTTTTGACAAAAAAAGGTTTGTACCATTTTTTTCTTTCTTGACAACTATTGTAATTTCTTGGACTTGATTTTCACTTGGGCAGTTAAGAAAACAGCCTGTCTGTGGCTTTTCTCTCACTCTCGTGTGTGTGTGTATGTATGTATGTATGTATGTGTGTGTGTGTGTGTGTGGGCAGGGCCAACCCTTCAGGCTTATGGCTTGTGGAACATTCTCTTAATTTCAGATTGAACAGAATTCAATGATTAGGAGCATCACTAAAAACTGACCCCATTTCCTTTCCTTAGTCATTGACACCAGTGTCCGTGAATGGTCCAGTGTCCACCGCGACATCAGGAGGCTTCAGGACTAAGAAGCACTGAGGCCCGGGGACCCCGCCCCGACCCCGCACGCTGAGCGGCAGTGCCCAGGGTTTCCTGGCACAACACGTTGCCTGGCGCCACAAGCTGGGGCCTGCTCCCGGGGGGCGAGGGGCTCTTCCTTCTCCCCAGTTGCCTCACGCACATTCACTCAGTGAACCCCACTGGGTGGACATCCTGACCTTGTAAACCTAACGGTTAGGCCTGACCGGTGATGACTTTGCCTTGCAGGTGCCAAACACGGGCTTTTCCGAGGCATCCTCGACACCCCTGCGGACCCAGCCACGGGGCCAGCGGGAGGAAGCAGTGATAAATTTTGGCTTTTTCGGTTTTGTCTTCAGATAATGAGAAGCGTTTGTAAAACAGCTGAATGTCAATGAGTCTATGGCTTCAATCTCCTTTAAACGTAAAATTCTCAAGGGTCCAAAACAAAGGAGGAGGGGGGGCAAATTAGAGAAGAAAAGAAAACAAAAAAGGAAAGAAAGAAAACCAAACCCAAAACAAAGAAAAGAAAAAAAAAAGAAATTGCTGATATTGCCACAAATCATTAGAAATCTCCTGACATGCTGAAACCAAATGGCCGTTCAGTTCAAAACAAATCAGTGACTTGTTTTTTTTTAATTTTTCGTGGTTTCCTTTTGCTCTTTCTGCCCCTTTGCCGTCCGATTGGTGATGTTGTTCAAACAGGACCGAATCCCTGCCAAGTGCAGGAGCGACCCCGCCGCCTCCTTCATCTCCTCGTCGTCGCTCTCGGGGGGCTTCTCCGTGCGTCTCTTTTTGAGGGGCAGCGTGTCGCTGGGGACCCGCCGGGCCTTGGCGAGGTGCTGGCGCTTCTTGTGCGGGGCCGCGCAGCCGCCGTCGCCCGGGGCCTCCCGGGGGCCGTGCTTGCGCTCGTCCTCCTCCGCCTCGCTGTGGCTCTCGCGGCTCTGCACGCTGCCCTCGCTGCCCTCCTGGCTCCCCTTGGTGGCAAACTCGTCGTGGTCCTCGGCCGAGGAGGAGGAGACCGAGTCGCTGGCGGGCGAGGCGCTCCTGGCGGCGGCGGCCTTGGCACTGCTGTAGTTGTGATCCTCCTTGGGGTCCCCGCTGACCACCGGGGAGCCGCACGACGGCTCGCTCTCTGTCCGTGTCCTGCCGCTGCCCAGGCCGTTCCTGCGGGCGGGGACGGAGGGGAGACAGAGGGGACACGGATGAGACCCTGTGATGAGGCCCCCGCAGCCCCCACCGCCCCCCTGATGCGCTCACACGACCAGCCCTTGGAGGCGCAAGCTGGCCACGTGCCAAGGCGGCCGGAAAGTCGGCGTCCTGCACCCCGTCCTCCCATCACTGGCCTTTTCACTCAGTGTGTGCGGCTGAGCCGCCAAAACAACACGCTTCAGAGGCCACAGCGGTGGCAACAGGGTCTCCACTGGAAACCCTAAGGGTCGAGCGGTGCTGGGCTTCGCAGACCCGCCGGCACGGAGGGACAGACACCGCGGAGGCGGCGGGTACTTCCGAGGAAAAACCCGCGTCCTGCTCACGCTGCTGCGTTAGGAAGACTGAACCCAGCCTGCAGGGAAAAGAGGTGCCTGCTGGTGGGGACGGCTATCCACTCAGGCTTCCCTCCTTCCCCCTTCATCCTACAGATATTCACTGAACGCCCCACATGAACGCATGGCCTGGGGAGGGTCCCAGGTGGGATCAGGTACAGGCACCGCCACACAGACGCCGACAGGCCAGCAGGTCACGGTTAGACCCCAGGACGGGAAGCACCCGCCAGGCGCCTGCGAACCTGCCTAGATGATGGCGCTGAACTCCAGAGCAGCCGTGAGCATCCTAACTGTACAGGTGCCAGGAGGAGGATCTGGAGAAGTTTAGGGATTTACTTAGAGCCCCCACAGCTCCTAAGCAGCAGAGCCACGATCGAGCTCTTAGCTACCCCATCCGATCCGCTCCACTTTCTGATTTGCCCACAACTCAGTTCCCTGCCGTCCGTTCCATTCCCATCAGAGCCCGACAGCACTCTCCATGCCTCTAGTCATTTTGTTGCTTCACGTCTAACAATGAACAGACCTCCTCTATGCTTCTCAGGAGCCAAGTGGGAACAGAGACTGCACCCGCTGCACAGGGTCATGGGCCCAGGACATGAGGGAACGCTGGCAGGAGACGGGACCAGCGCCTGCTGTCAGCGCGAGGGCTGTGGCGCCGAGTCCTGGTGAGGCCGCTGTTTACATGGCCACTGTGATACAATGGTGTCTGGCACAGCAGGTATTCAGGAGGCTGGGTGAGCAGAGAGGTGAATCCTCGAGGGAGGGAAAGGCTACTTAGAGTGGAGGTGGCAGAGATGGCTTCTGAAGCGGGAGGTGAGGGCTGAAGGCTTGGGGCAGGGAGATGCTGTATGGCACCACCCGTGTTTCTTGTAAGCTCATCCACCTGCTGATACGTTTCTGGGCGACATGAGCACACTTTTCCTTCCTGCAGAGCCCCAGGTCTAGGTCCTCCACAGAGAGGAGTCCCCATGTCATCACGTGGTGACCTGCTCCAGGTGTGGGCTTCCCATTACAGCGTCAGCTCCCTAAGGCAGGGCCGTCACTGGTACCTCTCCAGGGCCTAGTGCTGTGTCTGGTGCAGAGTGGACACACAGCAGAGAGAAGGGCGGGAGCAGACGGAGGTGTGTGGCAGAGAGCAGGAAGTCTGGGAAGATGACTGCGGACCTCCACCAACACGCCTTATCGGATACTCCCTAAGGATATGGCCCTGGAAAGGCGATGGGGTCAGGCCCACTGATGAGCTGCAGCTGTGAGCCCCGCCCCCTTTTCTCCTGCCAACCCTGGGGGCCTATGGGCTCAGCAAGACTCTGGTTGCAGCCTGGACAGCGGCTGAAAGGGAGGCGAGTCCCTGTGATAAATGGTGTAGCAGGGAGTGAGGTCAAGGGTCCCCCTCTCTTCGGTGCCCTCCTACATTTAAGCTGGTGGGAACGTGCACCAGGCGGTGGCACGCACCAGCACAGTAATGCGCACCAGCAAAACGCATGAGGGCCGGTATTAGAACTCAACCTCTGCTGGATGTCTCAAGACCTCCATGATCAACCCCACAATCACAATGTGTGCATTTGCACAATGGCGTCCTAGCAGGTCCAGAAGGGCCCCAGGTTGTCCCGTTCTCTAGGATCCCAGATCCATGCCACCCCTCCCCTCAAAGTCCTTATAGAAAGAACCGGGCTTGTAAGACAGACAGACAGACATCCAGCAAGTTTATTTGTGAGCTTCAGCGCACCTCTCTGCCTCCCAGGGCAGTGTGACCAAATGAAAAGTCCGATCACAGAGGGCAGCTCTCAGTGGGCACGGGAGACTTCTGACTTGGTCTCCTCTCCTGTCAGATTGCTCGCTGCTGCATCATGCTTACCCCGAGTGGTGCCATTTCTTTCTATTCTAGCTCAGGAGCCGTATGGGAATGCAGCATAAAGTAGGAGCAGAGAGGCCTGAGGGAAGAAATGCTTCAGGGGCTTGCCTGTCAACATGGCCCTGAGCTGTGTATCTATGTTCTGCAGACTTCCTGTTTCTTGGCTGCCTTGGGGAACATAAAAGTGGCCAGGAGAGGATGCCTGTGAGGTGCTACCAAATAGGAAACTTTGTTAATGTAATTAATTGCACAGGTAGCTATTAATAGTCATGACGGCAAATGAAAATGAAATCTCATAGAATGGCTCTCTCGATCTTTGTTGTTTCAGGCAACTACTGTTGAATCTAAAAATTATTTCAGTAATGAGTCCGCCAAACTAGCAAAAAACAGTTTCAAAGTGAACTCAACTACACTTGGGTGAGTAAACGGGCTTTTTTCTAGGCTTTTAGAAAAGTCAATTCAATTCTGAATCCTTACTTTTTAATAACATGGGGCTTATGACTCACTTTACTACCTCAGTTAAGCAGACTACGATACCCCCTGAACATATGCGGAGAGGGAGGGAATTGTGAGTGCAAAAGAGGAGGAAATAAGGCAAGTGCTGCAAAAATCTAATTCTCAGAGATTCTAGGTGAGAGGCATATGGTGTTTATCATGCTTTTTCCTTCTCTTTGCACAGCTTTAAAAAATAGGTTTTTAAAATGTTTTTATTGATTTTAGAGAGTGGAAGGGAGAAGGAAAGAGAAACATTGATGTGAGAAACATCAATCACCTGCCTCCTGTGCGCCTCCTACTGGGGATCAAGCTCACAACCTGGGCATATGCCCTGACGGGGAATCGGACTGTGACCTCCTGGTTCATAGGTCGATGCTCAACCACTGAGCCACGGCGGCCAGGCCCAGCCGAAGTTTTAAAAGCAAATCCTCTTTTGGAGAAAGGAACCTAAATTTAGGTCATGAGGATTTCCACAGATTAAGTTCAAGCAGATATTGGAAAAGCAGCTCATAACCTAAAATCACCAAACATGTCAGCAAACAGGCCACCGGGAACATATAAATGTAAAAATACTTGTAACCAGCCAGGGCACGGGAATGCCGACACCCTCGATGGGTTCCCGGGGAGAAGTAACTGCCTGCACAGGCAGCCAGTGCAGATAAAGTCAGCCCCAGCCCCAGCCCCAGATGGGGCCAGAGACAAGAAGAGCCTCCCCTGAGAATTTTTAATCACAAGCCTGAAGTCTTGTGGGTATGAAGCCAGAATTCTACTGTGGGGACCAGGGACCACAAGCTAAATTTAGTTTAAAGTGCCCAACGGTGCCTACTGTTGAAAAAAACACACAAACCCTTTCTGGAAGAACCTAACTTAAAACCCAGGCCACAAAGAATTCCCACACAAAATTTTAAGAAACATAGGTTCATAACCCAAAACCCATTAAACATAAAAGAAAGAAGCCACCGTAAGCAAGAGACAACAGAAAAACACACACAAAACTGTGAATCTGCAAATATTCAAATAACTAGGTACAGAATGTAAAGTATGCATAATGAAATAAAAAAGAAGGAACTGAAACACATTAGAAAGGAAGAATAGATGATTAAAGCCAGGCAGACAGATTTTGGAAGGCATCAGGTAGAATTTCTAAAGCTGAAAAAATAGAATCCCTGAAATGAAAGAACTCAGTGGGAGCCAGAAGAGACAAATTAGTGAATCAGAAGACGGATCTGAAGATAATATATATAAAATGCAGCACAGAGAGACAAAGGGATAAAAAATATGAAAGAGAGATTGGGCAACATGGACTATAATAACAAGCTATCCCTCTAAGCTGGAGTTCCAGAGTGGAAAGGAAAAAATGGAGACGATCCAAAATCCAAATAAAAAATGGCCGAGCATTTTCTAGTTTTGACGAGGGTACCAATCCTCAGATTCAGAAAGCCAACAAGTCCCGAGGAGAATAAATAAAAAGAAATCCATGTCTAGACACATCACAAACCGTACAGCATTAAAGTCACAGAAACAAAACATACACTAATGAGGTGTACAGTAAGATGAAGCAGTGAAACAGGTAAAAGTAGAACATTAATTCCAAAGTGCGAGACAGAAAAAATAACCGTCAATCTAGAATGTATATCCGGTAACGCTATCTTCTAAGCATAAGGGCAAAATAAATATATTTTCAGGGTTTTAACTGAGTGCAGATACTCACTAGGGGAAGTTTTAAAAAATATATTTTAGGAAAAAGGAAAATGATCCAAAAAAGGAGGTTTGAGATGCAGCAAGAGAAGATAAGCAAAGACAATGTAATTAAGTACTGACTGAACACCACAATAAAACAAAAAGAAACTGAAACAGAACCAAAGTATTGGGCAAATATAGCATTTCATCTGGGAGGTAGAGAACAGAAGTAAAAACATTCCAAGGGCCCTGTATTGATCAGGAGGTTAAAGATATTGATTAACTTTAAACATTTAAAAATATTCATGTTAAAAGTTCCAGGATCAACACGGAAAGAAGAGAAACAAAATGTACAACTTCCAAACCATTAGAAAGGGAGAGAAAAAGACAAAGGGAACGAGGAGTGAGAGAATCTTAATCAATTTCAAGTAATGCTAGAAAGGAAAAAGAATCTGGAAAAAGTGGGCCAAACCGAAATGCAGAATAAATGGGAGAAATAAATCCAAATATGTCATTAAAAATTGGCTAAAAATCTTTTTTTTTGAATTGGCAAGCTAGTCTTTTTATTTTTAATTTTTAAATGTTACTTATTTTAT